TAGTATTATAATATATTTCAAATATATTTTAATATAAATATATAATATATTCATAATATATGATTATAGTACACAAAAATAAAAAATATATAAATATGATTATATTGAAGATTGAGAAGAATTAGAAATTTAAAGAGAGAGAGAGAGATTAATAAAATATGATTCGTGGATTTTTAAAAAATGTTTAGGGGTATATATAGGTATAAATTAAACCCCCCTTCTCAACGACTTAGCTGTAACTTAACCTAACGGTCGGCCAGGAAAAAGAAAAAAAAAAGTAACCAGAACCGGTAACAGGACCGGCGATTCCGGTAACAAAATATTCGACCCGGAACCAGACCCGTGTTCACTGGTTCCAGGTCTTGTTTCCATAACCGGCGCCCCTGTCTCCTTCTCCGGTCTAGTGGCGGAATTGCCGGTTCCGGCACTGATGGTAGTTTCGTACCGAGACCGTGTCCACGCCCATCAAGGAATGTACACAATAAATAGCTTGAGCTCAAAAGCTATTAAGGGAGAACTTCTAAGCTTTTGAAGAAAAAAAAATACACAACAATCTATAGAGAGGGGTGGTAAGGGATAGTCTTTGCAAGAGAGTAAAGTGGGAATGAACTCTCTTTTCTTGTGAAGTAGTTCTCCTTTTATAGGGAGAGTTGGAGAATCATTCGTGGAAATATTCCTTTATTTCTCCTTTTTATGACATACCTAATTTGGTTGTTCTTCATAAATAATTATAAAATCTCGACCGGGTCGAATATTATATCATGTCAACACATGAGTTTTGCAATCTATTTCTCAAATATTATTTTCTACTTTTTAAACAACTTGAAAGCTCAGATAATTATTTCTACTTTAGTCGTCGGTAACCAAATTCAAAGTCCGAGCATCAGTTAATCAAGGTCATCAATAGGTCAACCTTTTCATCGATCCATGATATCTTCATCAAAACCAAATAGGTACATTGGTGAACGTGTCACTAACGCGCTCCTTAATTTGGCGCAAGGCCATTGATGCAATGTTTTATAAGCTTAGAGACAATTAGTGCATTTTTAAAGTTCAGGAGAAATTCTTTCCATTTTTGAAGAGCTGGGAGCTAAATGTCACAAAATATATAAATTTCGTATAATTGTATTAATTCTAAGATGTAGTCCGTAGCTGGTATGTATCAAAATTTTATTAACACTTATTTATGTTTAATTTGTAGTCAAGGAGTTCATGAAAGTTGAACAAAGGTATCATTGTTAACAGTAAACATGCTTTGGGAGTACGTCATCTTCATATCATATGCTCTTTTCATTCCACAACAACGGTATATTAAATATATTATTAGATATGTTAGATTTTGAATGAATGTAGACTTAAATATGTCTAAGTATATTAAATTTTTTTATTCCCTAAATAGGACTTATGTCTAGTGGAAGGAATAATGTCCAGTAACGATGAACATTTACTTGAATAATGACTAATTTATAATGACCAAAGGTCCTACATTGAAAAATAAAAACATATGATCCTATATTGGAAATGTCACTATGTTTTAGTTCTATTTATGTAAATTTCTGTGTATTAAAAAACTTTAGAAAATTTGTAATAAACATCACAAAACCTGCCGCATCACAAGTTGGGGCGAGGCCCACGGCGGAGCTCCATTACAGCGAAGAAGTCGCGGCAGAAGACGGGGCGAAGAAGTCGGGGCAGGAAAAGGCATGCCGCGGGCGCCATTGCAGCAATTCATCGTGCCGTGCCAAGCTGTGTTTTTTTTTTTAAATTTTAAACTCTCTAATTGCATATTTATCTATTCAATTTTAGCTTTTTTTAAATTTCAATTCTATTTTTCGAATTTCAATAATTAGAATTGAATTTTTTTAATTTTTTAGTTGTTACAATTCTTTTTTATTTTTTTTATAAATATTCATCAAGTTTAATTAATTAATTTAATAAAAGTGATAAATAATATAAAAGAAATAGAGAGGCAGAGCAAGAGCGCGATAACATTGCAGACGTTTTGCGGAAGGACTGAAAAACAGAGGAAGACTGTGAGAGTCTGCTTCATCGTAAATGCTCTTAATATACAATTACTGTAGAATGAGGAAAGTAAGATGTAGTTTGCAAAGGAGAGAGTGTAGAAAAATTTAGAGTTTATTGCACCATCGCCTATGATTTGGGTAAATGTGCACCGTTACCTCTCATGGTTTCAAAACTTACGTAGTTGCCCCTCATGGTTCTGATATTACTACAACAATGCCCCTCCGGACAAAAATATCTTTCAAGTATTAGGTGAATAACTCTACTCCCCCTATGGTTTTGGAAATAGGCGCCAACGCCTCCTCTTTTTTTCTTTATTGTTTTCCTTTTTTTATAAAGAGAAGAAAAATGTTTGTGTGTGAAATAATGAAAAAATGTTTTTCAAACCTGCATTTTAAAAAGTCTTAAAAAATTAAAAAAAATGTTTGTGCTCAAAGTAAAAAATTTAATATCTACTTCATATGTCAAATTAAATATTTTTGTTTTTTTGTCTAAAAAGTTTTTATCTTTTTTAATATGTCGAGATCAAAAAATACGGGATCAAAAAATATGCAGGACTGAAAAACAGAGTAGGCATTAGTTTTAGTAAAAAAGAGTATTTCATTGGTTTTCTATCATTAAAATAAACCAAAAAAAGACATCTTTTGAAAACAATTGAAGATATTTAATTTGAGACAAATGAAATGTACGTTAATTTTTTAACTAAGTTGGCATTGAGAGATATGATACACATTTATTTTCTTGACAAATGACAATGGGCCTATTTGGGAATAACGTTTTCGATTAACGTTATCATTTAGATAAAACGTTAACGGTGCATATTAACTTTGAAACCCCTAAACGCTGCATGTTTATATCATTTTTAAAATGTTCACGCTAAGCTCTAATGCTATTTCTAAACAGGTCCAATATATTGCAGGTATGAGAGTACACACCTAAAGAGAGCTTAAAATTCTGATTGGTGCTAAAAACAACAAAATAGATTCTGTTTTGGTGAGCTCATAACTTAAAAAAATCACAATCAGGTATACTCTATTTAGAACAACTGTAGGATAAGTTGGAAAGTTTCTCAAAATAGGTGCGAGTGATAATATAAGCACACAGGAAATATTATTAAACCACACAAAATATTCCTTGCTTATAAACCATTAAAAATTTACATTTCCTTTCACTTTAATCTTATATCACATCAAAGGAATAGAATATCTCAAAATTAAAACAACCCATTTTTTCCTTTTACTATATTCCTAAAATATAACTTCTGAATCACCATTTCCTTTTACTTTTTGGTCACACCAAATATTACCATCCTCTTTTTTTAACTCCCTTATTTTTTTTCTTGGGTAACTCCCAAAATAGTCGTTTCTAATCAATGATTTTCCAAATTAGTTCTCAAGAAATAATAATTACTAACCTAGTCCTTTATAATTGAGATATATTCTTTAAATAGTAATTGGACAAAAATATTTCTTAAATGACACTTAAGTAGAAGGTATTTTTATATTTTCGATCATCTAAACTATGAATAAATCCACAAAATGATCCTTTCAAATTAAATGGATGATTGCTAGATGACAAAACCCAAGTAGACTCATAGATTCAATTTCAGGAAAACACTAACTTAATCAGTTTGAAAGATACTCCCTCCGCCCATAAATAAACTTCACGTTTCCTTTTTTGGAAACTTTTTTCATGCGAAAAGACTTAATTGCCCCCACCCTCCACTCTCTTTTCTTTTTTCTTTCTTCCTCGCCACATCTCACCAATTCCTTCTTCCCTTCTCTTTTTTTTTCTTTTTTCCTCTCTTCTGAAATCACCCGCAGGCCACAGCCACACATCGATTTTTTCTCTCTTCTTCTTTCTTTCTTTTCTTCTCTTCTTCATTCTTTTCCTTTCTTCTTCTTCTTCTTCTTTAATTCCTTTTCCTCCCTGTTTTGACTTTGTTCCGTCACCCAATGATTGGGAGCAGCGAGCAGTGAGAGGCGGGAAAGAACCAGAGATGGAAGAGCAGATCTATGAAATCCCATGGTACATACGTGAACCAGAGAGAGGCGGGCAAGAAGAACCATGGTCAGATCTGCTCCTTTTTCGACATAGTCGCCATCAATTTCATAGATCTATAAAGCTTTTGTTACTCCTAGCCTTGCCTCAAGCCGTCAAAACCTCCGATGGAAGAGATTAGATCTACGAGCTGAGGGAAAGGGTTACGAAAGGGATGGCGGCAAGAACCATAGAAGTCATCCGATGGTGCCAGAGAGTAGGCAGCAACGGTGGTAGAGAATTGCTGGCGGTGGTAGAAAATCACCGGCGGTGGTGTTGGCAATCAGAGATTGCGTACCGGTAGATTGAAAGATGGAAGGTTGCAGGGGTAAAATAGGAAAGTCAAAGCAAATTTTATCCAGATTAATATGCGTACCCGGTCAAAACGGGAAGTTCTTTAACTCAAAACGCGATACTCAACAATGACACTAACAATGCCACTGCATTTTTGGAATACCTAAGACCGTAAAATTGATAGTTCCTACCCCTCCTAACCACCCCCAAGACATCCACCCTAACCCCACCCCTGCCCCACTCTAACTCCCCCTCCAAAGTGTGCTCAAAGGAAAGTGTGAATTGTGATAAAAGCCTCTACATCAAACTTCAATTTCAAAAACCTTGGAGCATTATCACCAAATTTAAATCCAAACCCCCCAGCCTATCCTTATGCCTAGATCAAATGTAATTTTTGCACCAAAATCTAATAATGTGATGTAACTGTGACCTCAAAAGAAAGTGTGAGTTGTGTGAATGCCACAATATCACATACACCATACGATCACCTAGGCAAGCACTTAATAGATTAGGCAACGTGAAGGTCCCTTGGCATCCCACCTCAGCACCCTAACAACTATCCTACACACACCCACACAATGTTCATTTCACAACTGAGATGCGGGTCAAGTGTGAGTGGGGACACACCACATACTTACAAAAGGAAAGGTAACTAGCACGGCTCAATGGGGAGAAGGGAACCAAACAGAGGGCGTCAAAACCAACAAAAGTTGTCACGAATGTAAAACAAGTTCAACCTTACAAGGGAATGTTAACAAAATAGTCTGAATACCACAAAGACGTAATCGAAATAGAAAACTAACAGTACAAATCCAATACCAAAACATAGATAAATATCAGAACCAAGATAAGGAACAGGTCATGTAACTTAGTTCTCGGTCTGCTCCCTGAGTCTTCTGATCGTGCTTCTGACTGTCACTGAACTAGAAGTGCTGTTGCCAAGTTTTTTAAATTAAAAAAATGTTAGAAATATGCAACGTTGAAGAGGTTAAACAAAAGAGTTAGATCATTCAGAAAAATTACTTCAAGATATATGCCCCTCCTGCCTTGACTTTGCCACAATCCTTGCATCCCCATATACCGACAGCCTTTCTCTTCACTGCACACTGCACCCATAGTGGATAGTATCAAAATAAATGTATGCAGAATCTAACCCTTGCATAAGCTCAATCAGTCACGTCCAGAACAGATCATATGATGGAAACAATAATTTAGGCTATGTAAGAGCCTGGAAAGTGGTAGGGATAGACAGAAAATCTAAAGACAGTGATTTTATATTTTTGGTTTTGAATTGAAACTAAGGAAAACAAACATGATTTCAACTTTTTATATGTTTATATAAAAATATATTTCATACTCTACATATTTCGAAAATGTAAATGAAAAAGTTCAAAAACTGATTTATTTAGTGTGGGCCAATTTTATTTCACTCACATTTTTTATCCTTCCAATCGCTCTGTTCTTTTTTCTTTGCTCTTATCTTTCCAAGGCATACAATATGTTTGGTTCAAATTAATCCAAGTAAAAGAAAATAGTAGAAAGAGATACTTTGGTAATTGGTTAGAAAGGAAAAGAAAAGAAAATAAGTAGAAAAAGAAAAGGTTAGAAAAATGTAAAGCAAAATCTTGAATGAGATTTGCACGCCATTTTTGTTAGAAAAACAGAAAATTATGAATTCCCTCATCTCCTATACCTGGTCTCCTTAACCCACCGACAACATCCCTCACCCCAACAATTAACCCACACACCCTTTTTGAAAAAGTTCTTCATTTTCCCTACAACCAAACCATGAAGAGATTGAAATATCATTCCATCACCAATGTCCTTACTAACCAAACAAGATAAGAATTTTGGTTTCAATGCCTTCCTCTTATATTTCTTAGCATTTTCCTTTCTACCATAATATCTCAAACAAAAAATTGTGTTAATAAATCAAAATGTAGAAAGCATGAGCACACACCTTCCCACAAAACTCACAGTCGTACTTCATATGCTGGCTAATCTCCATCTTTTTAATTTGCTTCCGAAGACTAGCACCATAACGGGTTCCTTTAAAGTAATAGCAAGATTATAGCACAAATCAAAACTTTAGTTAAAAAGGCACTAAGAGAACATAAAAGCACAAAACATTGGGGAAAAAACTTACCATATTTGCCCACAATACCAGCCTTCTTGGTCCTCTTAGCCTGCGCCAAAAAGAATGAAGTGTATCAAGCATATGGCAATGGTAACAATTTTGACAAAGGCAATCATGAAATTGCATCAGTGTTCTAGAGAGGAATTTGATGTGGCAACCACAAACTCCTGCCTAATAGACAAATTCCAACTCAAACAAATCCAATGCATCAATAACGTATGGGGGCAAGATATACACAGAACTGACATCTACCTCAAAGCTCAAGGATGTTTAAACAGTGGGCCAAATAAAGAGACAACCAATATTTTAACAACCAAAGAGGAAAGAAAAACTAAATTCAGAGCAGTCTTTAAGAGATGGAACCTATTCAGCCAGGTTACTAAGAATCTAAGATAAATAAATACAATAAACTTCATACTTGAAGCAAAAATATCATGGCTACAACACATTAATCTCCGTTGCAATTATGCTATACACCTTTTACAGTTGATAACAAAAAACAAAATTATTTATCTCAGCGAAACCAAACAAATCAAGTGAGCCCTCTGCAAGCAAGGCAGACGAAATGTACCCGATTTTATCTCTAACGAAAGAGTAAGAAGACTTTATGTGTGTAAATCAGAAGGAAACGGAATAATCATTTAAGAAAAAACATAAATGTTCATTGCATTCCGATTCGGTATTAGCACGATGAAACACAAGATGATATATTACGAATACAAACGCATCTGTGAAAGCAGGAAGAGAATGAGAGATTACCATTGCTACTGCTCGTCGCCGGAGACGAAAGATGAGAGATTCAGAAACGGTGGGGGAGAAACCCTAGAGGACTCTGCGGGGGCAGCGAAGACGGCTTCTTTTTATAGATGCTCCGTTAAAGGGCCGGGTCGGGGCACTTGGGATCGATCAAAATGTTAGGGTTTCTAGCGGATCTCATAGGGGAATTGATAAATGCACTCCAATTTTGTTAAATGCACCCTACTCTTTTACTCTTTCTGTCCCAAAACTAGACTCGTACCCGTGTGTTGCACGGACAAATTATTTATTAAAAAATCATCGAAAATTTTGACAAAGGAAAATGATAAAAATACTTACAAATAAGATTATATAATATAATCCTAAAGAAAGAGAAATATAAATTAATAAACAATATCGCAGAGAAGTGGTATAAGTTTTAATTTTTTTTAATAAACTACATTTATAGTTTGGTTCGACAATGCAAGTCTTCATTGGAAATCAATATCTTTAATTTAATCTTTTGCGATTTACAATTTTTAATTTAATCCTTTGTGATTTAAGTGAGCATGACCGAATATTGATTTCTGACTAACAGTCCAACATGAAACAAAGATTACTCTTGATTTTTGCTAATCGTTATTGCATATGAAGTCATAATTGAGAAGAATTTACTTTGAAATCATATATATTCAAAATCAGAAATGGTACCACATTGTCAATAGTACGCAATGTCACTGGAACCGTGCTTTTAAGAATGAAAGCTTAATACAAATAAAGTAAAATTAACGTATGGTTTATAATAAATTAAATAAAAATGCATGCATTTTTTGTGTAGTGTGTGTATGTGCACGGATGTAAATGGTTCTTGAGTTTTATACTTTTATTAGTTATCAATATGTGAAAAATTGTACCTACGGATATATATGATGCTCTTTATAATTTAAGAATTTAACCGGATATATATGATGCTCTTTATAATTTAAGAATTTAACTTAAAAGAGTTGCGCAATGTTCTTGTAGACTCTAGTTATTAAATTATAAGATAACATTTTCTAACAATCTCAAATTTGTTTCAAATCGGTCTTTTTGAATGTGAAATATTATCGTGTAAAGGAAGAAATTTTACTTATGTTAAAAAATGAGTGCCAAAACTATTACTCCTTTCAATTTTCTCACAAAACTATAATTAGAAAGAGAAATAGTGTGAGAAAATTTTAAAAATGAAATATAATTTTTTTTAGATCACAAAAATGAAATATAATTATCTCTGCTAAAAATAAGAAATTTTAAAGCACAGTATTTTTATCAATACTTCATTTTTCAAACTTTTTAAATTTTCTCAAACTTTTCTAATTTTTTTCACTTCTTTGTAAAATTTTAAAAATTTGATGTTTTACAAAAAAAACATCCCAACATAAAATTTTCAATTCATGTGAAGTATGGAATGGAAATTATTAGACCACATACCACATGCCACATTTTTTACCCGCAAAAAAGTTCAACTTTCTTTTTTCATCCATCCCAAAAAACACTTCTCATTTTCTTTTAAAAAGTCACTTTTATCCCTACTAATTCTTAACTTACTTATCACATCACACTTTTTTTCTATTAATCTATTCATCCAATCATACTTTATGTCTCACATCAAAGGACATTTTTGGATAGCTAACACCAAAATACACTCCCTTAAATCATCAAAAAGTCAAAACGGGAACTTTTTTAATGGACGAAGAAAGTACTACGTATTTAACTTCTCAACAAATTATACAAAAAAATAAGGAGTATTTAAATTGTGGTGTTATGTATGGGACTATGGGTATTGTTTTTGGATTAAATATTAATTCCAGCAACCCAACCTACCGGCCCATCCTTCAGCCCAACCCAATAAAAACATGGCCCTATTAATCTTCCATTCCTTCTTCAACTATCCTAAACCTAATTCTCTCTCTATCTCTCTCTCTGACCCGCCGCTAGTATCCTCATCTTGGAAGGCAATGAAATTTTAGCCATCTCTACATTTTATGGTAGAGGATAACACATTTTCCTTGATTGGGTTTAATATTTTTATCTCCTATCCAAGATGAGGAAAGAAACTCAAGTCTTAGGGGTTTTCTTCAAATACGATATTTCGGTTAGCTTTTTTGTATTTCATACTTCATTTTCATGATTCTATCACTCCATATTTTTTTTAAAATGCATTTTTTGTTGTAACAATAAAAAATATTTATGCATGTATGTTTAGATCTCACGATTTCAGTGTTATTTATTGTCTCTTTCACGCCCTGTATCCTATTTCAATGCAAAATCAAGTATTTATTCTTAACTAAATTTTCTAAAAATAAATACGCAATAGCTAAAATAATGGTTTTGTTAGATAAAAATCTATTTTGTTTGAAATCTTTTAGTGAATTTTTTATACACCTTTCTCAGATCTAATAATACCTTATTAGTTTTTTTATTTTTAAAACTTATCTCTCTTTTTCTTGGATCTATTCGCAGAAACACAAAAACTGCTTCAAATAATTAAGTTGCAACAAATATTTTCATCTAAACATGATCTGTGTAACTTGATTCTGTGAACCCAGTTGTTCTTTTGTCCGAGATGTGCAGAGATATAAGGTCTCCCGTGATCTTATTTGGACCCTAGGGTACGATATATTTCTTTTCAAACATACTGTATTTTTTTATGTCACTATTTTTTTTAGAATTGTCACAGCTTAGTTTTTTTCATGCCTTGATCTTATGCTCTAGTCTCATTTGTTTTCTTCTTTTATTTCAAATCATTTTGCTCAAATTGTTTCTCATATATGATGAATAACCCCTTTATCAAACATTTTTGGTTGATTTATTATTTGGATAATTTTTTGTGTGGGTCTTTTATACAAACAACGGTAGATATTTATACTCATTTTTTATACTTTGATTTGAAAAAAAATCCTAGCAGTATGTATAAAATTTTGCATTTAAACTCATTTTTTGACCCCTTTCCCTACCTATTTTAATTTATGGCGTATTGAAAAAAGACTCTTAGGGCAACTCCAACGCATATGTCATATGCTAAAAAATAGATGGTATACCTTTTACTGTTGTTAAAAGAGAGCTCCAACGCACCCTCCAAAAAATGAATTATCCTCTATAATTGCTTTTTCATCCTTCAATTATAAAAGGCACTGTGCGGACATCTATATTTTTTGAGCTTCGCTTCTGAGATTTGTGCACAGTGAAGATGGAAGCAAAAGTGAAGTCTGAGTTTGTTGCATGTACACTCGCGGCACTCTTCCCAGCTGATTCCCTAGGTTGCCATCATCATCTTGATTTGTTTGTTTTTTTTTCAAATTTTTGGTGTTTTGGAATCGCCTCAAGCAGATTATCCAACATCCGAGCTTCTTTTTTCCGTGAGGTTGCAATTCAAGGCTGAATTTGAAGAAATCTATTCAAATTTCTCACTGTTAAGATTTAAACTAAAAAAGTATTTTAAAAAATATTATAAAAATGTAAAAAGTAGATGATATGATTGGAGAGGTGATGAAAAAATGGAGTGTTAAATCACTGTTCCGAAGCTAAAATAGCATTTAGCTTCCCAAAATTTAGAGTATCCCTTGGAGATGCTCTTAATCATTGCCAAAGCCATTTAATCATATTTGAAATCAAGATTTTAAATTTTCTTCACTGCAACACTACGAAACTCCTTTGCTTGAAACATTGATGTATGCAGTCTTTCTGACCTATTTTTAATATTTGATGCAATATTAAAGATTATTCTGAAAAATAAAGGTTGGTTCTGACCATAATGCTCACCACTCTTTAAAAAAATCCCAAAAATAAAATTAATGACTTGACATTGTAATTCTTTAGTAAGCCATACATTTTGAGAAATGCAAAAATAACACCTCCTCAGTACCTCAACCGTCGTCTGGATTGCTTAGTACTCATTCCGCAGCGAATGAGTTGTGTTGTATTGCATTTGCATTTTATTTATACTACATGAAAGAGTTGGTTGACACATTAATTAAAAGATTTGGAAATCCACTTTACACGCTTAACAATGACTTTTTAGTGAATAAGTACACATATAGGCTGTAAAGTATAAAACACATGTCCCAATAAAAGATTTGTAGAATCCATAAATTGACATAAAGTAAATCACGTCTTTTTAGGAAAAGAAAGTATTGAGTCACACAACATCTATTTTTTTAATTTGAATTTCAATCAAGCACACTCGAGTACTTTGCACGCCAATTCATAGCACAAAAAGCATACCATTCACCTTCCCAATAATCATGGCATCACGCCCATCTTCAGCAGCCCAATAAGTCTACACTGATAGGTTTCAATGACAGTTTGCAAAGTTAAAAAATCAGCCCATCTTCAGCAGCCCAAATGCAGTGGCCCGGCCCAAAAAAATGGGCGGAAACACTATTCATAAGCTCCTCTTATCATTGTATATAGAAAGATTTTAAAAATATTTAAAATAGATTGAAGTGACACAAAGTAAGTTTTTTTTAAACCACCTTTATAGAGCCACCAAATTTATATTATCAATGTAACTTTATGAAAGATTGTAATGAGTGGACATAAAGCAAAAAAGGAGATTCAAATAGACACCAAAGCAGGCCATTTTTGTATACCAATGCAGGCCCATTCCGTCAACCAATGCAGACCCATTCCGTCAACCAATGCAGGCCCAAAACCGCAGCAAGGTCCACCTAGTTTAGGCGGGAACACTGTTCACCGAGAAATCCACCTAGCATTGTATATAGGAGGATTTTTGCAACATTTTCTTTTTCAGTAGTCGCGAGAATTTTTGTTTATTTTTACGTTTTCATTGGTTATTTAATAAAATAAAATATTTTTGACAAATCTTATTTCGAAAAACTTTTCATGTAGTTTTTTGATATGTAAATTTTATATTTTATTTCTAAACCAATATGTATATAAAATAAATTGAAAAAATTTGATATTTTACCTCGGAGATACAAGTGTGGCAAATATTTAGGGACGGAGGGAGTATATTTTTGTTGAAGTAGACATATTTAACCTTTGTGAATTCAACTTTTTTAGTACACCGTATGTCTTTTTAATTACTCCATCAGCCCAAAATTTCTATTATCCGATTTGATTAAAATGACAATTTGGGAAAGTTAAAAGGTGTAAAAAATTTCTATTTATTGCCTTTGATGGGATAGACTATTGAATAGTGTAGTGAAAAAATATGGCTATAATGACACATTAATCAAAAGTTTTTTGTCAAAATAAGAAATGAGAAAAATGAATTTGGACAATCCAAAAAGAGTGAGAAAGAAATTTTTAGCCAACCTTAATAGCTCAAATATTAAGATATGTTATACAAAAAAGAGTATTTTGTACATTTTCCGTCTTAGAATTATCATCTCATTTTGAACAATAATTAAAATTTTATCTCTTTTAAAATAATTTGATTTGAAAATTAATATAAAAATAAAAATATACTCCGTATAAATTATAAATTTCAAAAATATATCAAGAGTTTTATAAAACAAAATGTGACAAGAGTCTTTTATTTTATCACCCAATCAATGATAACATGTAGATAATAAAAAATTATCAAGAGTCCAAAATAGTAACTGAGACGATATTTTTGAAAGAGGAGTATGTAACTTTGTAAATAGGGAGTATTTTTATTTCTCATTCCTTTTTGAAACGTCAAAAAACTATCGCTCTCTGAAACATGATTACGTTTTTTAACGTAGGGAGTACCGGATAACTTTTTATTTTATAAAGAAAAAGTTTTATTGTGATAGAGACAATTGTGTCATTTTTCAATCCAAAAGAAAAAATGGTGAGTTTAACAAAACTAGATATTAAATTTATTAATCGCCAAAAAATATAGTATATAGTTCAAATATTCAAACACTGAATGATACTTTAATTTGAGCAAACAAATAAATGGATTGAATTAAAAAAAGATACAAGATACTTGTACTAAAATTCAATTAATTCCAGGGACAAATTTGTATACTCCAACAAAAATGTAAAAAAGGTGGAGTGCATTCAACAAGAGCTAGTGGAGTGTATTTATCAATTGCCATCTCATAGGCACACACTTTGTAATTGTAAATTTTTCTTATTTAGTTCATATTTATAAATCATTATGTTGACAATCGTTATTAATTGGTTACCGTTTTACTTTTTGTCTCCCGTCAATTTTCTATCTCCATGTCGTTAGACAAAGACTAAACATTGAATAGTAGTCGACCAATAAGAATCATGAACATAATATTTGTTAAATATGAATTAAATATGAAAAATACTTTGTTATAAAAGACTATTTAGTGAATTTTAATTATGTTATGTGCTTCATAAGTTTTTCATTTAATTTCATGAAATTTATAATTAAAAATTTATAACTTGTATCACTCATTTTTACCTGCTACTAGGGGTGGACACGGTACGGTTCCAGGACGATTCCGGTTCTGCAACCGCCGGTTCCGGTTCCGGTACCGGACCGGCTGGTTTCGGTCACCCCCCAATATATTTTTTTTGCTTTTTTTTAAAATTTTTAAAGTGTAAAATTATAAATATGCAATTGTTAAAGGAAAGAATGAAATAAAAAATCTAAAAATGTAGTTGTTATTTAAATATTGTAAAATAAGTAATACACGAACTGAAGAACAACTACATTTAATATCCTGACGGTTCAAAAAAAGCAACGAGGTAAAGAACCGTAAAGAAACCCTCGAAGAAGCTTATATATCGTTCACCTAAAAAAACTAATTACGTATTTACATATCTACATTAACATAAAAAAGTTTATAACTTATTCCTCAGAACTCGAACTTCCATCTGTGGTTGCATTCATGTAATGATCGGAATTGAATTCGTACCTTGACTCTTGAGCTCGACATCTTGCCAAGAGCCAATCTCGGTTGCAAACAAGTGTTTCAAGAGATTCAGCGCTAAGAGATGTTCGGAAGTCGGTTAGAATGTTGCCGCCTGCACTGAATTCTTGTTCCACTGCTACGGTTGATACTAGGACGGACAACACTTGTCTTGCTAGCATTCCGAGACATGGGAACATGTGTTCGTTCCACTTCCACCATCCGAGGACGTCAAACTCCACGTCGTCGTCGTCGTAATCGCATGGCACCCCTTGGTACATAGCAAGTTCGTTGTGCGAGCTTACTGTTGTACCATTTGAACTCGTCGGAGGCTGAGCGCGCTTCCCTTTCTTTGCAAGAAGCCACCGACTATTCCTTTAAAACCTTTTTTTGATTTGGGGGCAGAGGAGGTGTTGTTTCTTTTGGTACATTACCGTATAACCCTTGATATTGCTTAAATAAATCCTCAAAACGAGTTATAGCATTATCTCTTTCTTTTTCACATTCTATTAAATGGTTGTAGTAATAATTATTTTCATCTAAAAAACAAGTTTAGTAATAGTCAATTAGAATTTTATAATTGTCAATCTTAAAGCGTGGATCACAAATAATACCTATTTTATAAATATCAAGAATATACAAATAATAAGCACACCATTTATCTTTCATAGGAGAGACATAAGGGTACAAATCTGGATCAGCCACACTTTCACGAAAACATGTTGCGATTGTAACGCACTCTTTAAAAAATGTATTTGTAGTTGGTTGGTAAACATGCAAAAAAGTAAGAGTTGCGTTATTAAAAACTTCTAATACGGCATTCAATTTTTCAACAATAACAAATTCAATAGGTGAAATCATTAAAAGAAGTTCATCCCTAAAAAATTCAGCAAGTTCCTCTTTATAGCTTAGAATCTGTGCTATCAACTTGTATGTACTATTCCATCTAATGTTGATATCTTTGGCAAATGTTATTGCTCTTCTACCCTTAGACTTACAGAATGTCTTCCAGGAATTCAAAATAAGATGACTACCCCAAATCCTTCTAATTCCATTTTTAATATTCGTCAAACCCCCCCTATAGCTTCTAATCCCTGTTGAACACATAAATTTAAAACATGACAGACACACCGTTGATGCAAAAATCTACCCATACTCGTAGTAGGGGCAAATTTATTTAAGTCTAGGAATAGCAGCAGTATTATTAGTAGCATTATCAAAACAAAATGCAAACATTTTATCAAATAAGTTGTATTCCCGCAAAATACGCTGAAGCAATAAAAAAATATTTTCAGCAGTATGAGAATCATTGAAATCACGAAAAAAATTTCTCGTTTAATTGTTTTTCTTGAAAAACCTCTTGCTTGAGGATTTAATGCATGTTGACAATAATCAATAAATCCAAGTTTATCAGAAAACATGTATGGCAAATTTTCTTCACAAATTATTTCGGCCATTTTTTGCTTATTTTGCTCGTTGCTATAAGCAAAAAGGCCACCCTTACCGCTGTTAGCAAACCAAGAAATTTGGGTTTGCACTTCTTGTCGTCGTTTCTTTTTTGCCGCGTATTTGGCGTACTCCACGGGATGCCTTGACCCTAGGTGTTTTTCCGGACCACCATAACCGCCGAAAACTCCCATTTTAATGACGGTGGCACAATATTTACAAGTTCCATAAACTATGCCATCTTTTGTTTCTTTTTCAAAATGATAAACAAATAAATCTGATTTTAATTTTTTTACCTTTGTCCGGACCTTGAGAGGTCTCAGGCTCACGTGCCTCCTCGTCAACGTCGTTGTTGTGCGCTGTAGGCTCCCCGTCCATTCCTGCTTCATCAATATCCTCGAATAAACTTTTAAGAGTTTCGAGATTCGCGTCGCCTCTACCTGACATGTACTGGTCGAATTCTTGATCCGTCAAAGCGTCGCCCATGAATTGATCGGGGATACTAGGAAAGGAAGAGACGGAGTGTCTTCCTCGAGAACCGCGTGAGGTCGAACCGTCGAAGGTGGCTTTAGCTTTGCCTTTCCTCGAACTTCTGTTCACGGCGCCCATATCCACAGACCTTCTACTGGACTCTCTCGACATTTTAATATATATATTTTTTGATATTTAAAACAATAATATATTAAATTTTGAAAATTTAAAAAATTTTCGAGATTTTATATATTAAAATTTCGAAAATTATAAATTATTTAAAAAATATAATATATTTAAAAAATTAATTATATATTTAAATTATTTAAAGAATATATTTAAAAAATTAATTATATATTAAATTTCGAAAATTTCGAAATTATAATATTAGCAATAAACTAAAAATATATTATAATTGATAATATGAATAATGAATGTATTTATAGGTTATTATGTAATATATTATATTGTCTTCATATATATTTATATTATTATATGAATAAAAATTGTATAAAAATTGAGAAAAAAAGAATAAGATTGAGAGATTGATAGATTGAGAGATTGAGAGATGGATTGAGTGTGATTTTTTTGGAAAAAAATGGTAGAGTTTATAGTAGTTTCCCCCTATCCTCTCCCTTTCCCCCCCTCCCCCACCTCAAACGGCTAAATAGCCGTTGAGGTCCCCCCACTGACTTTTTTCTTTATTTTTAGCAGGTGGACCGTTGGGAAAGCAAAAGCAAAAAAAAATTAAAACTGGTACCGGTACCAGCACCGCTGGTACCGAAAATTGGGCACCGGAACCGGTATCGATGAGGGCGGTACCGGTTCCCGGAACTGGTATAACGCCCCGGCCGGGCGTGACGGTGGTGGGTACCGGCGGTACCGTTGCCGGTCACGGTACCGTACCGGTACCGTGTCCACCATTACCTGCTACACTTTGGGTGATGAATGGATCAAATGATAGTGGTGTACTTAACGAATAATGGAAGGATGAGTGATGAAATTGAAGTGAACGAAAATGGATGAGTTTGAAGCTCCATTTGTCATTCCTACAATTGTTAAGTTTGTAACCGTGGTTGACACGAACAAGTTTCAAATCAATTTTGGTTTCAAAATTAGGATTTTTTGTTCCCCGTTCGTTAGAAAAAGAACTAGTTTGCATATGGATTGGTTAATTATAAATATTGATTCAACTCGCAATAATAACCTGGGAAATGTCATAATTTCAGTTAAAAATAATAATTAAACCTTTACATTATGCAAGAGAAAAAATGACTCAAATAATTCTAATAAAAAGAATTTATCTTTTGTTGTAAACTCGGTTCTTTATTCATCATATATGGGGGGTATTTATACATACACGGGAGGAGGTATAGTCTATGTCAATAAGGAAACAAGATATTCTAAATAATATGAGAAATATATCTGTCATATTTAACACTCCCCCTCAGATATATCATCATGCATTATACACGAACAACATTATGCTACTAGATAATGTTGGCTAGGTTCTTCAGGACCTATATTAACTGATACTGCAGGATCAGTTATGCTGCCTCATTAAAAACCTTACTAAGAAAACCCAATGGGACAAAACTTAGTCAAGGGAAAAGAGTACAACGTGTATAATATTTTCCTTCAAAATAAAATTATACTCCCCCTCAAAACTAAATTATCTCTTCCAGCCTGCGAAGTCCAATCTTTTTTATGAGTTGCTCAAAGGTGAATAAGTGTGCCAAATTTTCGCTTGATTTAACTTGAAGAACATTGATCACGCCTTCTTTCTGCAGATCAGATGTTGAGAAAAACTTTGGTGAGATGTGCTTCATTCTGTCTCCCTTGATATATCCTTCCTTGATCTGAGCTATGCATGCTGCATTGTCTTCATATATAATTATAGGATTTTCTTGATTTCTTCCAAACCGCATGCTCCTTGTATATGATCAATCATCGATCTCAACCAAACGCACTCTCGACCAGCTTCATAAAGTGCTACCAATTCAGCTTGATTGATGATGTTGCTGTTAAAGTTTGCTTTGTTGACTTCTAGGAAATTGTTGTACCACCGTATGTGAACACATAACCTGTTTGAGAACGTGCATTGTGTGGATTTGATAGATACCCAGCATTAGCATACCCTACAAGTTGGGACTTTTCATCCTTTTGGTAGAAGAGACCTAAGTCTCGTGTCCCACAAATATATCAAAATATTTGCTTTATCCCATTCCAATGTCTACGTGTTGGGTTTGAACTGAATCTTGCTAATAGGTGTACTGAGAATGCAATATCAGGCCTTGTATTATTTGCAAGATACATGAGTGCACCGATCGCGCTTAAATATGGTACTTCTGGACCAAGTACTTCTTCACCCTCTTATTGGGGGTGATAAGGATCTTTATGTATATCTAAGGATCAGACAACCATGGGTATGCTCAACGGATGTGCCTTGTCCATATTAAAACGTACTAACATCTTCTGGATATAGTTTGACTGATGGACGAATATGCCATTGTGCAAATGTTCGAATTGCAAACCAAGACATAATTTTGTTGTGCCAAGGTCTTTCATCTCAAATTCTCTTTTTAAGAGCTCAACAGTTTTTTCTATCTCTTCATGAGATCCAATGATGTTTATATCATTAACATAAACTGCTACAATAGTGAATTTAGAGAGTGATCTTTTTATAAAAACACATGGGTTAATTACATCAGATTTAAAACCATGCTTTTCAAGGTATTCGCTAAGTCGATTGTACCACATACGACCAGATTGCTTGAGACCATATAAAGATCTTTTGAGTTATATAGCACACATGTCTCGAGGTACTGATTTTAATGCTTCTGCATTTTGAATCCTTTAGGGATTTTCATGTAGATGTTATTCTCAAGTGTCCCATATAAGTATGCTGTGACAACATCCATAAGTTTCATCTGAAGTCCTTCTGAGATTGTGAGGCCGATTAAGAATCTAAGGGTTATCGCATCCACTACAGGGGAGTACGTTTCCTCATAATCAACTCCTGGGATTTGGGAAAACCCTTGTGCTACAAGGTATGCCTTATATCACATAATCTCATTCTTTTCATTTCTTTTCATTGCAAACACCCATTTATAACCCACTGGTTTGACGTCTATGGGTGTTCGGACTACAGGTCCGAAAACATTTCATTTGTGAAGTGAATCAAGTTCAACGTTCACGGCCTCTTCCCATTTTGGCCAATCATTTCTGTGCATGCACTCTTCTAGAGTTTTAGGTACGTAATCATTCTCATTGAGTACATCCATTGCTATAGCATATGAAAAAAATTTCATCAACACGTGTTTCATGTCGGTTCCATATTGTACTGTCTTGTACATAATTGATAGAGATCTCATTTTCATTTGGTACCTGTCTTTCTTCAGGGATATCATTTTCCTCTGGAAATGTATTAGTCTCTTCTGGGACATTTACCTCTACAGGGGTATCTTTCATAATCTTCTCTTTGGTTTCACCAACTGCACAATTTTGCTCCTTTCGTTTTCGTGGGTTCTTATCTTTGGAACCGATTGGTCTCCCACGCTTTCTTTGTATGATAATTGCTTCTGGGATTACTTCAATACGAGCAGGTGCATTAGATGCTGGTATATTTGACTTTGTCACTTTATTTGTATCTATGAATGCATCTGGTAATTCATTTGCTATGCGCTGCAAATGTATGATCTTTTGGACTTCAGAATCACATTGACCACTTCGGGGGTCGAGTATCGATAGTGATGATGCATTCCATATTACTTCTTGTGTTACCAGTCTTTCTTTATTCTTGTCTCCCTCTAAGATTGGGAATACTGTCTCATTAAATTGACAGTCAGCATACTGTGCTGTAAACATATCTCCCGTCAATGGTTCTAAATATTTTATAATAGACGCGGAGTTAAAACCAATATAAATGCCCAGTCTTCTCTGGGGTCCCATTTTGGTACGCTGTGGTGGCGGTATTGGGACGTAAACTGTGCAACCAAATATTTTTAAATGGGACAAATTTGGTTCTCTTCCGAAGACCAATTGAAGTGGGGAGTATTCTTGATCAGCAGTTGGTCTTAGTCTGATCAGTGCAGCAGCATGTAAATCAGCATGCCCTCATGCCGAAGGTGGCAATTTACTTCTCATCAGAAGTGGTCTAGCAATTAACTGTAATCTTTTAATTAAAGATTCAGCTAAACCATTTGTGTATGAACATGAGCTACTGGATGTTCAACATTTATCCCAATTGACATGCAATAATCATCAAAAACTTGGGATGTAAATTCTCCTGCATTGTCCATGCGAATATTTTTAACTTGATTTTCTAGGAAATGCGCTCTTAATTGTATGATTTGGGCTAAAAGTCGCGCAAACGCTACATTTCTAGTAGGTAGAAGACTCACATGTGACCATTGTGAGGAAGCATCAATCAACACTAAGAAATAGCGAAAAGGTCCACATGGAGGGTGTGTGGGCCCACAGATGTCCCCTTGGATTCTTTCCAAAAATGAAAGATTTTCATGTATCAATTTTATTTGGGAGGGTCGTGTTATAAATTTTCCCTGAGAGCATGCTGCACATGATAAATCTTGCGGCAGTAAGATTTTTAGATTGTTAAAAATATGCAGATTGTATAAATTTTTTTATCATAAAAGAACAAATATTATTACTGTGTAAATATGAAATATCAATTTATTTACTTTGTTTGTTGGTCTATTAGGCATCAATCAAAACATGTATATCTGGATGGGAAAGATAAGAAACTCATGCCAAAACTGATTCAATTGTAATATGTAATGGAAAAATACCTGTACTATGTAGTGAAAAATTGATACTTAGATTAGAGTCCAGAAACTTTTTTCGAGGGTGAAACCTTAGTCGCAAGTGGTCAGAGGATTGCTCTACTTCTTTTCTGACGGCTATGGGGAATTGCAGATCTGGTCGCGGCGTGGAACGAAGAAGAACAGATGCGGACTTCTGCGATGCGCAGCGGAGAACGGGGAAAGAAACAGGAGGAGACGAGAAAAAAAATTAGGGTTTGAGTCTCGTGCTGATAACGTGTTGTAAACTCGGTTCTTTATTCATCATATATGGGGGTATTTATACATACACGGGAGGAGGTATAGTCTAGGTCAATAAGGAAACAAGATATTCTAAATAATATGAGAAATATATCTTTCATATTTAAATCTTTATCTATGTTTGAAAATTTGTATATTATAAATTTGGATGTACAATAGCATTGTATATTCGGTATATGTAGATTTATAAGTTACACAAGACCTATTTCTTATATTTTTCCTAGAGACTTTGAGCATGCATATAATAAAAGTAATGTATTTGAAAATGCTAACTTAATTGCTATCCTATATCTTTATCTTTATTCTTTAATATAATATTTGATTCTTTAATATAATATTTGAGACTCCGTTTGCTAGAAAGTCGTCAAGTGCTAAGCTTATGTGGCTATATTAAGGTGAGATGGCAAGCCTTTATTGGTTGCTTATGTGGCAAATTTTATTAATGATGAATCGATCTTTCTTTTTATTTTAAAATAGAAATTTAATAATGATTTCAAATTTTGGAAAATTTTTATGTAAAAAGATTTAGTAGAAATAAATAATTCATTACTTCGTGACATTAGTTGAGTATTTATATTTTTTATTTTTAAAAAGCAATTCATTTATTTATTTGTTATGACGTGATAAAATTATTTAAGTTATAAAATTAAATTTGTGAAAGATAAATATAGTATTGTCCGAAATAAAACTATTAAAAGAAAACAATTATATAAAATTTAATTTTATGATAACACTGATTATGATGTAGCAAAAAATTAGTGAAAATATAAAATTGGTATTATCACTTCCCATTTCTAGACTAGCATTTTTTATGAACCAAATTTTTAACTAAGTGCATACACAAAAAAACAAAATTTTGATAATGATATAATTTCATTTCAAAGTATTCTTATAGAAAAGGATCAAATATGTTTATAATTGATCCTTTATTTATAAAATTGATATTTTAATCTCTAAGAAGCTGAGATGTGATGTTGTTTATGAAACATTTCTGACACGTAAAATATATTATAGAAAGTAAGAAGTTAATACTATTGTGTGAAGCCATTCGGTACAATTAATTATGGAAGAGAATATAGATATTCGTTTTTATAATAAATTATTTTCTAATTATGCATATTTATCTATTCAATTATTACAAAACTTCTAAAAGTGTGTTTGGTGAGCAAAAAAATATAAGTTTTGATATCTCTAGATATCCTTATCATTTTCTGGTGTTTGGTGAAGCCAAAAGAGTTATCAAATTTAATATCTCCAGATATCATAAATCTTTAAAATGGATGGTCTCAATATCTCCCGAATTTGGAAAAAATAATATGGGGGTTTGATATCTCTCCAAATAAAATCATTTTCAAATTACAAAGTCCATATAATTTCTCTGAGTTTTCATAACCCACATCTTATAATATCTCCAAAATTCACGAAATTGGCTGTAAGTAATTAATAAGATATTTCTTCACTTCTAAATAAATTTCATATTTTTATGATATATCTAAATCGAAGCAGTCAGTTTGATTATATTTATTAAAATATTCATGTAAGTTAATAAACAAAAAACTTATTTTAAAACTACAATGAAACTTTATAAAACATGAGAAGATTAGAAAATAAATTCTTAAAGCAGGTAAAATATATTAGACTTTTAAGTTGCTGAGATAACATATTTATTTTGTACTCAATAGCTTAGTTTTAGATTTGCAATTACTTCAGACACAATTTTGATGTCAACAATTGTGTCTTTTATCAAATTGCATTTTCAATTCTCAAATTTTGATTATATTATATTCGTAAGAAATTTGAGAGCCAAATATATGTAATATGAATAAGTACACAATTTAGGGTTTAGAAATTGCATCGGATGTAATTAGAAATACATGACTAATATGTTGAGTATGAAATAAATGTACTATCTCATCTAATTAGAAGTCCTAATTACGTTAAAGACTATTTTCAAATTAAAATATTTTTTAGGGATGACTTTATCAAAAAATATTTTACAGGGACTAAAAAAAATTATTATTTTATACGGTATAAAAAAATATTTAAACCTATTTTTATTATATTATAAAAGACAAATGATTAAAACAAAATATATTGTTGGGATTATTATATTACACTAACATTATTTATGATTTTATTATCATTGAGTACATTTAATTAAGAAAGAGAGATATTTATTTTTCATTAGAATAATGTTTTAAATTTTTATTTTTTCATTTCATTTATAATAATAGTTTCAATGAATATATAAATTACTACTCTCTTCATGTTTAAAAAATTTCATATTTCTTTATGATATGATTAAAGGATGTTAGTTTTATTCTATTTATTTAAATATTGATGTAAAATAACAAATACTTCTTAATCCGTATATTAAAATTATATATATTAAGATATGACTCGATTATTTTTTTTATTGATCAAGTGTTTAAACCATAATTTAGTAAACCTAGATTTTATGTGTGTATGTGTGTGTGTATGTATGTGTGTGTGTGTGTGTGTATATTTTTGTGTGTGTGTGTGAAATTTAGATGGTATATAACATAAAAAAATCAAGTTATTTAAATATTTGATATTGTACAATAAAAAACAGTTTCGTTCCACCCGTGCATGACACGGGTTAAAATACTAGTACTAGTACTAGTATATAGGGCCTGTTTGGGAATAACGTTAGAGATTAGCGTTAGCGTTTTGGATAAGATTTTAACGATGCAGATTACTTTGAAAACGCTAACGCTAAACGCTGGCCGTAGATAGCGTTTTCAAAACGCTAACGCTAATCTCTAAAGCTATTCCCAAACACATACTGACAAATTTGAACTCCTATTTTCAGGATATGACATATACTTCACTCCTATTTAGGAGATTTTTTTAAATATAAATTGGGAGGGAGTAGAGTTTACCATAGATTTCTAACATTTTCAATTGGATAAAGCTATTTGTACCCCAAATTTTTGTACCCTATTTTGTATCCCGCAGGTTTGCATCAACACTTTGTGTTGGTGTAAAACTAATTTTTGTTAATGCACCAATACTTTGTGTCCGTATAAATTTTTGTTAACGCACCAACACCTGTGTCGGTGTAAACCATCAAAATATTTGTGTATAGCTACGATGTATAAATGGGGTACAATTTTTGATGTAAGTGTAGCACGGTTGTTTTCAATTTCTAAGCTTCATGCACATTATTCTTTGATTCCACCAGTATAGAAATTCTCACCGTGGAATTGACTTTTCTCCTTTTCCCCAGCGTGGCCCTATTTGTCGTCATCGCATGGTTTCCGTGTCATCAATCCCTTCATTCCATAGCATTCACACACAGATAGAGATGAATAAATTATACTTTATATTAGGGTTAGGATTTGGACTGATGTTCAACTGCTAGAGCTTCTTAATTTCGACCGCGGGGGAAGAAATTGATGGTCTGGAGCTGTCTGGGGAGAATGATGAAGTGTTTTCTCGCGTTCAAGGACAAATCCAAGCCCAAGAGGTCATCCGGAGACTCGGCGCCGGAGCTGACCGGCGGGGGCAAGCCGGAGGGATTCTCCTCCGCTACCTCCAGCCGCGCCACGCGGTCCACTGGCTCGGTTTCTTCCCCGAAAAGCATACCCCAAATGTACAGGGAGAAAGGGCAGTCTCTGAGGGTTTTCTCGCTCTCGGAGCTCCGGGAGGCCACCACCGATTTCAATAGGATGTTGAAGGTCGGAGAAGGAGGGTTTGGGAGTGTCTATAAGGGCTCTATTAAGTGCTCTGATGGCTCTCCCCCTTTGATTGTTGCCATTAAGAAACTCAATACTCAGGGCATGCAGGTATGCCTTACTTTTCTTCTTAGTTTTTTAAATGCTCTCCCCATCCCCTTATGGTCTTACTTTGATTTTTGTGATCTCTTTGATCACAAATTAAATACAGAGTATAATTTTTAAATAAATAAATGTTAGTACTCACAAAAATTTAATTTGTGATGTGTTTGGTCATAAATTAAATTCTCGGAGTATATCAAAGTTACATCTTAAAGTGAAATTTGCACTAAGTAGTGCTAAAACATATGTCCTTTCACAATGTGTTTCTTAAATTTTTTTATTCCGTAAATATTACTTGAATAATGTCTAGTGGCAGAAACATTGTCCAGTGATGATGGTGGATATTTAGTTAGTGAACATTTATTTCAACAATGACCAGTGTACATTGAATAGTGATACTGCATCGAGAAATAAAAACAAAAACATATGGTACTACATTGGAAAAAATTAGTATGTTTTAATACTATTCCGATAAATTCCCCTAATTAAATTGAACTTAATTATATTCAATTTATATTGTAACTAAAAAAGTCTAACTGCCAGTTTTGGTACTGTTTGGTTTTTGGGTGTAAAGACCATGATTTTTCTCAGGTGATTTGTGTTTATGGGTGATTGAGTCAAACTAGAAACAGATAATCCATTAGATTTCCTTTAAAGTGGCCATTATTCCCAATAAAATACTCCGTATCTTAATTAAGCCAGAACTAGATAATCCAGGAGTGCACTAACTTCTACTATTAGTAGGCATGAGATAAGAGTTTTGATATCTACCAAAGTCAGAAGACTTTTGTGGTTGTGGGTGTTTGGTGAAGCCTAAGCAGGGTTCATATATATATGATATTTCCTGATATCAACACCTTCTCAAGTGAGGGTGTTTTGACATCCCTCGACTTTTCGGAGATATCAATCCGGGGGTTTCGATATCTCCTCAACCGCCAACCACACTCACCCCCACTTGTCACTAACTACCATATCATATTTCACTTTCATTTCATATTTTAAAACTCATATAGTTTCTTTTAGATTTCAGAATATCATATCAACCTTGTTGCACTCACCAAACATGCCCTTGTATCCACCCCAATATGATTGTAAATGTGAAGTCCAATATGTGTTTTTAGAAATAATGGCGTACCACACAAAGGGAAAGATTAATGCTAAGAGTCACACATCAAAATATGAGAGTAATACATAAGTTTATAGCCCTCAAGTTAGATTTGGCCTACTAGCTAAATGGATTGGGTTTTGGCATTTTAGTGGTGCTCTCGAATTTGTGAATGACTTACTTTTTTAAAATCTGGCTATTCATCAATTGTATATGGTTGGTTACAACATGTTTCTATTGAGATGAATGATGTTTACAGTACAGCTATAATGTTAGGGTCACAAACAATGGGTTGCTGAAGTTCAGTTCCTCGGTGTCTTGGAGCATCCGAACCTTGTTAAGCTTCTAGGATATTGTGCCACCGATGGGGAGAGGGGGATCCAGCGCCTATTGGTTTATGAGTATATGCTGAATAAGAGCTTAGAAGACCATCTTTTTAACAGAACTAAGGCTGTCATTTCATGGAGGACAAGGTTAACCATTATCCTCGGTGCAGCTGAAGGAATGGCCTATTTGCACGAGGGCTTGGATGTCCAGGTATTATTTTAGGACCCGTTCCTCGGAAAATGATGGTGAAAAAATACTTGCTTCAAACTCACTAAATCAATTTTAAATATTTGCTCAAATGCTTTCTTATAATTATATAAAAACTAGGAAATCTAATGTAAGTACTGATAACACTTCCTTTGGTTCCATAAAGATGATGAAAATTTATACCTCAAATATTGAATAATGTGTTTTCTTGTAATTAAAATTCTAAGGTTATATATCGGGATTTCAAATCATCGAACGTGCTCTTGGATGAGAATTTCAATGCAAAGCTTTCCGACTTCGGGCTTGCAAGAGAAGGGCCAGTAGGTGACAGAACTCATGTTTCTACAGCAGTAAGTATAGTACTACAATTTTCCAAGATTCTGGAATATCTAACGGGTTTTTGAATTCGTCCACTTAGGCGAGAATAATAAGAAGAATTAAGTATTTTTTTTAATCAAAGCCAATTTCAGTCAATAATCCTACCAAATAGGCTCCAATTTTTAAACATCAGTTTAACTCCCGTAGTAAAAGAGAGGGAGTACTTTAATATGGAGTAGTTCTTTTCTTCAATCATCTAAGTGTCTAACCATTTCTACTACTAGCCCGTCGGCACAATTGGATATGCTGCTCCAGAATACGTTGAAACCGGCCATTTGACAGTCAAGAGTGACATATGGAGTTTTGGGGTTGTTCTGTATGAAATGCTCACAGGTAGGCGGGTGATAGAAAGGAGCCGTCCGAGTTCCGAGCAGAAGCTTCTGGATTGGATCAAGCAATTCCCCGTTGATAGCAACCGGTTTAGAATGGTAATTGACCCACGGCTTCAGGGCCGATATTCTCTCAATGCTGCAAGGCAGATTGCCAAACTTGCAGACACCTGCTTGAACAAGGTCTCTGGGAACAGACCCTTAATGAGCCAAGTGGTGCAAGTTTTGGGACAAATTCTAAGAGATTCGGACGAAGGGTCCTCGGAAATTAAGGGTTCGGAACCATTAAGGACCCCAAGAGCTTTGGGCTCAGACAAACAAATCTCAAAGAAGCGAATCCCCGAAAGTCCTACAGAAACGACTCCGAGATGAGTTCATTACATTTTTTAGATTTTATTTGGGAGAGAAGATATAAATATGGATGGAAACAAGAATGAGAGGGGTATTTTCCTAGGTAACACGTCGGTTTTCTTATACTATTATGTGTTCAAAGTTTTCTTGGCTGGCAACTACAACTTGCCATTAGTGATCTATATATGTGAATATTGAGAATCTTTATTAATTTTCTAAATAAGTTGTAATATTTAGTAGTTATGTGGCACAAATGGACTTCTAAGAAGTCTTGGAAACACACATCTTGGGGTGCTTTCATTAGTTAGTATTTTCATTATCAAGATAATTCTTGCTACCGTATTGTTTAGGATATGAGAGCGAGCTTGTTCTTTTGAACTTACTCCATCCGTCCTAAAACTTTCTTCCCGGTTCGCAAAACGAAGAAAAATCTCAAGTTTTTTTAATTTATTTTATTTAAATATTGGTATAGAAGTAAAAAATAAAACATACATATTTAAAAACTACATCAAAAGTTCAACAAAACAAGTGGTGACAAGAATATTTTATTTTATCATATAGACCATGAAAAACACAAATAAATATAAATTCCCGTAAAGTTGGAATAATTTAATATAATAAGAATCAGATCAGACTAGATCTTAATAAAATTATATCAGAGGAAGAATCGTAAAAAAGTATTTTTATCTTCCCAGATTGGCATAAGTGTAAAAATTTATTCTTTTTATGGGGGAAGAAGTGATCCCAAGTGACAAGTTACTGAATCCTTTGTTCCAATTTGGCGAGGAGGCTACCTTTTGCAAGACTATAGAAATCGCTCGGACATTCAATTTAACTCTAGGAAAGCTTTTCTTGAAATTTGATGAAAAATCAAAGACTTAAGTGGAAAATTTTCTCTTTAATCCAAAGAATTATTCCTTTAAGTTTTGGTCAGTTTTTTATTATTATATTTTAGAATCTAGTATTGAGTTTTCAAGTTTATCCACCTCATTTTAATTTTCAATATAATTAAGTTCGTTTTAAGATTTATACTCTAAAAGAGAACACAATGATCATTGATCCATCCCTACGAGGTCAGAAACTCTCTAGCTTGTGCAATTGTGCCCCTTCCAACATGCACGAAGCATAAGTGAAGTACAGAGAGATTTTTTGATACGTTATTTGACATTTTAAACTCATTTTTTGAAAATGAAATTTTTATAAAATTGACACTTAAAGTCATCGAATAAACCGATTGTATTTTTTGATACGCTAAAAATAAATAAATATGAATCTAAGCATGATGTATATTCATATTAATTAATTTTTTGTGCGTAGTAAAAAGGTCATAAGGGACAATAAAAACACCTCTTGGATACTTTAACCCATTCTAGAATTAAAGACTTCTTTTTTTTTTAATCAGCCAAGAAAAATTTCCTTGTTTTCTCTTCTACCGGCTAAACAGGAAATCTCACCCACACCATTTCCACATTTCCATTTTTGGACAAATTTTAGTTTTTCAAATGTCATTGCACTATATATTTTGACAAATTTGAGCTTATGAGATGGCATATACGTCCATTACCTACCCTACTTTCCAATTTTTTTTTAAAAAACTCTATATTCAATAAACATTGCCATTTTTACTATTAGCATTATGGAAGGGTTTTGAAAACATGGAGGAGTCCACATCTGCTGTCCCACAATAGTAGTGTTAGGCAAATATACCTACTTCAATTCCCTCTTTGAGATTACCGATTACCCACAAACTATTAGTACTTTTTACATTTATATATTAAATGTATTAAATATTTAACACGAAAAATTAGTAAAGAATTATGTATTTCCAGTAATAATAAAGAAGGATTACAAGGTGGGTTAATACATACAAACCTAATGATGGAAGGAAAGAATATAAAGAAACATATACACAAAAAGGTATCTACAATATATACAATACATATTAAATATATTTACTACTAAATATATTTAACATGTTCCCAACTACGCTGGCGATGTAGATAAAAAGCCAAGATTGTTTATATAAGAAGAAAGAGGTGCGATGGAAGTTCCTTAGTAGAGATGTCAGCGTATTGCAACGAGGATGGGACGTGTAGCACATGTACATGGCCAAGTGCAACTTTATCTCGAACAAAGTGAATATCAACCTCAACATGCTTTGTGCGCTGCACTGAACGAGATTAAAGGATAAATAAACAACGCCCATATTGTCATAGAACAAAAGTGTTGCCGGCACAACGGCTGATGAAGCTTGAGGAGAAGATTTTGTATCTAGCTTGTCTCGGCAACAGCATTAGCGACAACCTGGTATTCTGCTTCAGCACTAGAGTGAGTAGTGGCCCGTTGCTTCGAGGACCAAGAGATGAGATTATCCCCCAAGTACCTAGAAGTCAATCTCCGAGTGTCTAGACAACCTGCACATTCAGCATCAGAATAAGCCTATAGAGAATCAGTACCTGACCAAGAAAGTGTGATGCCATGTGAGACGGTGTTGTGGAGGTAGAGGAGCTCACACTTTCTAACACCTCAATCCGCATAAGCTGAACTAATAGGTTAGCAAACCGGGTTATTACTAAATTGGTATTCGCATGCTCAATTCATTTAAAACCATTTAAAACCAAAAATTCATTTAAAATCATTTAAAACATCTATACATAATAATAATTTAAGAACATACAAAAGTTCATCGGAGTAATAATATAAGTTGAAAACTTCGCGGAAGCTTAAAGAAAACCAAAATAATGTCTGGACAGTCCATTTAGTTAAACTAATAAATAACACAATTTAATTAATAAGAATATACTCCAAGCCATCCACGCTATACCACATCACTGCACTCTGGGTTGTTCATCCAATCTTGGGTTCCAACCTGCGTGCAGTCAAAACAACAACGACTACACGTTCAGCTGAAAGTTGAGTGAGAATATACCTAACGCAAGTATTAACTCGTAGAAAGTACCAAATTAACATATATTCCAGCAACATCATGTAAACAAATATCGTGATATTAATATTCAAAATTTTTTACAACATTCATATTTATTTATTCACATAACATCTCTTAACCTATGATGGCTAAGGCAAATCATCTACCTATGAGTCGTGGCACCCCATGCGATGCTATAAAATGGCCATCTCAGAAAACCTAAAGGAAATTCACTCTGGGCGGGTTGAAGCCCCCATACTGCAGTGCTAGGATAGTTCGTGGACTCCCGTACGTACGTTTTTAACCCAAGACCACCAGGTGTGTGACGACGCCCCACAATGGCCTAATTCCTAATCATATCTTGTTGGTTATCCAATCAGTCAATCCAATTATGGTCCACCTAATTATACTAGGTGGTCTATTTCCAAAATTAATCATAATCCACAATAATTACCAACAAGATTAATTTAATTCAAATCTCAATTCCATAGTTCACAAACATATCAAGTAGTAGCCTATCGGGACCGAAGGCCCACGATTACCATCATGCACAATCAAACAACCCAATTTACAATAACCCAACTTACCTGTGCGGAATCGATCCTTGGGCCCGCTGCCCCTGCCGGAGCAGTCCCCATCGTCCTTGAACCAATCCCTGCACCCATGCTAGTAGCCGACCCGACTACCTAGATCCAAAGCCCGACCAAGCAGCCATGTTTAACGATCCAAATCAACCCAACAACCCATTAATCAAACCTAATCAATCCAATTAGACTCAATTGCACCCAATTGAATCCAAATAACCTAATTAAAGTCGATTAGACCCATTTTGACGCAATTGAACCCAACTAGAACCACCAGACCATCACCAGGCCACTGCCCGAGAACTGGCTAGACTACCGCTGGTGGATCGCTGGAAAACGAATGAAAACAATCCCCAAATCATCAATTCACACCAAATCAATCATCAACAACCAACTTCACAATCAAATTGCAAGATTATACAATAAGGAAGTCATAATCTACAAATTAACACTAACGATAGGTATATAATAATGACTCACCTCGATAATCAAAGAATTAGGCATGGATTGAAGGGGAGCCCGTCACTCCAATTTCTCCCGAATCCACCAATTGATGCACGCTGAACAGAGGGAAGGAAAGGACAAAATTTGGCAATGGAATCGACAGTGAGAATTGGCGGACCTTGGCAGTGTCTCTGGTCGGCAAACGGAGCAGGAAGAGTGGAACGAGCAAACACACGGAGTGTTAGTCATTGTGCCCACGCCTTATGGGGTGAATAAGGCGTTTGAAAACTTTTCAGAGTTTAATAAAAACGGTGTTGGAAAATGCGGAAGCAATATATAAAATACAGAAATAAAAGCGTAAATAAAATACACATCGATTTTATACTCGTTCGAGAACTCCCTACTCTAGTACATCAAGGCTCTTCCTCAAGGATTTCCAAATCTACTAAATCTCGGTCTCTTGAACTCCGTCACAGCACCGCACTAGTTTTGAAAAACAACCCTTGCCAATAGGATTCACTCCGAGATTTTACACCGGCTATCTCGAACCGCTTACAACCAAGATCTAACGGCTATATTCGACCGTTCCCCCCAAGGATTTCAAAGGCTATCTTTGAACCTTACCCAAGGATTTATACGGCTATCCTCAACCATTACAACGCGAGAATTTAACGGCTATTCTCGACCATAAAAAGCTGTGTTTGAAAAACACAAGAAATGGTTCTACACAACGGCTTGAATACAGAAATGAAGAACAAGATTTAGCCGGTGTAGAACGAAATTATACTCTCTCAAAAATACAATATAAACGTATGAATATGAGAGTATATCACCAAAATACAAGCTCAAAAGTGTGTGTATAAAAATCAAGAAATTAAGGCTCTTGAAATAGCAAAAATATTGTAAATAATGAATAAAAGAATGAACACACTTAGAATATAAAGAGAGGATGTTTGGAGCTTTGTTTCATGTTGAAATATGAAGTATTAGGCTTGTATTTATAGTGGAAGGTGTTAACTAGCTATTGGGAGGCGATTAGGGTGGATTAAATTCAAATTCAGCAATCAGGAACAATACCTCCAACGGTTACGGTGCCCTGTCACGGTAGCTAGTTACCTTCTTAGGCCAAAACTCTCTGGCGGTAGCTGCCCTCTTACGGTACTAGTTACGGTAGGGGGGTATTGGGTTGACGGTAGGGGGTACCTTCTTTGATTGCTCATAGTACCCCTTACGGTACCTAGGTACCTGCTGACCATTTTGATGATTTTTTCAATTTTGTCCAAATCGTTTCCAATTTTTTATAAAAC